CTCTGCCCGCCACCCGCCACTCCACCCGCCACTCTACCCGCCACCCGCCACTCTACCCGCCACCCGCCACTCTCCCCGCCATCCGCCACTCTCCCCGCCACACGCCACTCTCCCCGCCACCCGCCACTCACTGCGGCAGATGGCCAGGTCGCACTGCAGGTGGACGCGGTTGGTGTCGGGGAACCGCCACATGCTGAGGGTGGCGGTGGCGGTGCCCGCCGTGTCGTTGTACGTCCACTCCGACAGCTCCGACGTCGGGCACCTGGCGAGTCATCACACCATCATCATTATCGTGTGGCATCATCACATTACCATTAGAATATTAACTATTTATCATCACCATATTATTCCCTACCACCATCACTCACCCCACCTCCACCCACTCACCCCATTTTTCTCACCCACCCCACCATGCACGCCACTACTCACCCCATTCACTCCACCACTCACGCCACTACTCACTCCATTCACCTCGCTTACTCCACAACCCATGTCATTACTCACCACTTGCCCACCATTCACCCCACCACACCTCCCCATCACCCACCACCCACTCACCCGTTGTCGTCGGTGAGCTGCACGGTTGTGTTGGGGTCGCCGAAGCTGAAGCAGCTGCGCACCCGCATGGCGTGCTGGGCTGCGGGGGGTGAGGGGACAGGGATAACATCACTGTGATCCCTACCCCAAACATCACACTAAACATCATTGTTATCAACGAATATGGAATCACCAGCACGGCGATGATGACAATATGGAGATAATTTTAGTGTGGGCTGTGATGAAGGTAATGAGTGCGATGATAAGTATGGTGAAAGTTATGATGATGGTGATGTGAGTGATGTTCGAGGATGGTAATGATGGTGACGAAGATGGTGAAGATGTCCCACCATCAGGCCCGGCGATGGCGGCATGCAGGAGATACTGGCGGCTGAAGACGGCCTCGCTGGTGCGCCGGTGGTTCAAGTCCAGCAACTGCAGATCCACGAAACTGGACTCGTTCCTGCCAAGAGTGGGGCAGTTACTGAACGTCCTGGTCACTACTGCACGGCTCGCAACTTTATTACACTGCACTACTGCACTGCAACACTACCTACATCATTCTAAACGGCATACTGCACTCCTGCACTGCATACTGCACTGCATGCCCAATCGTATCTAAAATGTCTTAGGGGTAAATTCCCCTCCTCTCAAATCTTTCGGCAAGGCATTAAGCAGCCTCGGTATCGCTATGGAAAAAGATACCTCCCACAGAGAAGCCTCCCCTCCTTTCAATATGAAATGTACCATTCAGAAGGTCTCACTTTAGAGGTTGGGGGCAATTCCGGGAATGATCTTTCAAGTATAAAAAGCGCTACACCTCTCCCTTCCCTCCAGTGAGTAAGTACAGTCCCAGAAGCTCCAACCTGTCTCAGTAAGTAACCTGTCTCTTGGACGTAAAAAAAAAATCCGCTGGACTGCTCCAATTGCCGCTCCGCGCCTCCCGTAAACGGGGTCCAGAGCTGGCAGCAGTACTCGAGTAGAGAGAGTAAGGGAGCCCGGGTGGCATATCTTTTCTTGCTCAAAAGTTCAGCCATGTCCACCCTATCTGTCGCCTACTTCTCGTGGTGTTCTTCGGACGAGTGCAATATTGCGGAACGGTTGGTCGCGGGAAAGCCCGTCCGCAATTGTCATGAGCACTCTGCGTGTCGTCCGCAAGTGACTATATACTTCGGCACCTCACCAGCCCTGCACCTCACCAGCCCTGCACCTCACCAGCCCTGCACCTCACCAACCCTGCACCTCATAAACCCTGCACTTCACCAGCCCTGCACCTCACTAACCCTGCACCTCACCAACCCTGCACCCCTAGCACCACTATACCTGGCGTTCTTGAAGCCCTGCAGGCCGCACTTGATGGTGTAGTACTTGTCCTCCGCCAGCTCCAGGAAGCTGTGCGCCCGCACCACCAGCGGCAGGAACTTCTCCTTGCTCGTCTGCCCGCACATCATCGCTTTCATCATCACACGTTACTTCATCACTATTTTGAACATCACTCTCACTGATATTAGCATCTTTTCATAAATAAAATCAACATAAAAGTTATTTGATCGAGAAATGTAATATCGGTTGGATGCCACAGACATCGTCGTCAAATCATTGGCATACAACGGACTCCTACCGACCCTGTTAAGGCGCAAGCCGCAGTACTCACCGCGTTAAGGCGCACGCCGCAGTACTCACCGCGTTGAGGCGCACGCCGCAGTACTCACCGCGTTTAGGCGCACGCCGCAGTACTCAGGGTCGCTGGCGTCAGTAATGAGGGGAAGGCGCAGGCTGACGCTGGAGCTGCCGTCCCCCTCCGCGGCGCAGGGGGGGTTGCGGAACCCCCGACCATGGATCACCCCTACGAGAGATTAGGAGGATTAGGAGATCACCCTTACGAGGGGGGATTAGGATACACGTAAACACTCGGCCAATCAACGCAGAGTGCGTGTGGACTGGGTAGGATTGGGAGACAACTTGAAGAATCATAGACTTTGTTTCCTGAACTCGCGGAGTGGCACAGATCCACACACCACGGATGCTTAGCCCAACTGGTCACTGGTGTCGCTTTTCGGCACAAAAACAAACACCTTGAAAGTATTTGCCTCTAATACTATCGGCCAAAATTTTCCCCTTGTTTAAGGGGAGCGTCTGGCCAAAATTTCCGGATTTTGGCTTTTCCGGTTTTTATTCTCATCTTACAGCTGGCATTCTGACCTATCCAACGGTACCAGAATCATCTCTTATACGTTGATTTATGCGTTCGCGACAGATCCCGTAAGATGATTAGGTGTCCTGGCCCCTTCAGTAAAGTTAAGGCGGAAATTACTCGGCCAGGCACCATAAAGGGGACGTAAAGCGGCCAATTATGACATTCTCCAGTTCTTATACTCATCTTAAAGCTGCGTTTCTGACGCATTCAACGGTACGAAAATCATCTCTGTACGTTGATTTATGCGTTCACGACAGATCCCGCAAGGAGAGGGGGTGGGGGAGTTCTTTAACAAATAAGATAGGAGGAAATTAGCTGCCGAGCACCAAACATAGAGTGTCTTCTTGAGCTGCAGCTCAGTTACCCGCCTGGCGTCGCATGGGGTGGTGTGCATGCAGTCGTTCTCACCATCCTTGACTGGAATCAAGCTCCAGTAACGTTAAGTTTTGTATCCTTGCTACATTGAGTGGCTATTCCGATGCGCGCGGGACTTTGTCGCGCTCTCCTGAAAAGTTAACTTATTGTCACGGCATACCTATCTCCTCCTAGAGTTTTAAAGCTACAGCGATGTGAGATATACCATTCGATTCGCAATTAAAATATCTATCGATTCAACGTAGCGTTTTTCGAATTTCGTTATAGTTTTGAAAATATTTTGAAAATGGGGGATAGGAAAAAATCGCTTAATCGATAGATATTTTAATTGCGAATCGAATGGTATATGTCTCATCGCTATAACTTCAAAACTCTAGGAGGAAATAGATTTCTTCAGTACCCCCTTTTTTGCCCGTTTTCTAAGAATTTCACGTTTTCTTTCATTTTTTCGAAAAATTGACATGAATAAAAGCTGCCTATTTTTCTGTTTTACATAAGTGTACCAAGTTTCAAAGTGATCCGTCTGTAAATAGCCGAGAAAAAAAAGTAGCCAGATGCTCCCCTAAGCACCTTAAGAAAATTAAGATGAAATTATCAAGTTGAAAGTTAGACGGTGACACTCACCCCTGTAGGGATAACACTCACCCCTGTAGGGATGACACTCACCCCTGTAGGGATAACACTCACCCCTGTAGGGATAACACTCACCCCTTCGTCTCTTGAATGTCTTAAGGGTAAATTCCCCTCCTCTCAAATCGTTCGGCAAGGCATTAAGCTGCTTCGATCTCGCTACGGAAAGAAATCCCTCCCAAAGAGACTGAACTCTGGCCGCAGCTAGGTTGCTAAATGGAGGAACCCTGCACAGCTCCCCTTTTTTCATTATGAAATGTCGCTATTCTGAAGGTTTCACTTTCAAGGTTGGAGGCAATTCCGGTAATCATCTTTCATGTATAAAATGCGATACACCCAGATCCACACATCCTGACCCATGCAGTTTGACCAGGAAAAGGGAAGTGTTAGTGTTACGTCTGCTCGCTGCTTCTGCAGTGATTAAAAAAGCGTATCAATAATTTAACAATGTGACCCAAAAATTCATTTTTTCAAGTTCTTAAATAATAATAATAATCTAATAATCATTATTATTATTCATGAAAAATAATTATAATTTACATTATTATTATTATTCATGAATAATAATTATCTTTCATCAAAACTGACATTTCGTAATCAATCATCCCATCTCTGCAGAGAGTAAGTACAGTCACAGAAGCTCCAACCTATCTCAGTACGTAACCTGTCTCTTGGACGTAAAAAAAATCCGCTGGACTGGTCCAATTGCCGCTCCGCGCCTCCGGTAATCATCTCACCCCACCACTCCAGAGCCCCCTCACTCTATGGACCCCACTCTATGGGGTCCAGAGCTGGCAGCAGTACTCGAGTAGAGGGAGTAGGGAGGGTGGCATATATTTTCGTGCTCGCAATGTCAGCCATTTCCATCCAATCTGTCGCCTACTTCACGTGGTGTTATCTTCGGACGAGGGCAATATTGCGGAACGGTTGGTCGTGAAAAAGCCCGTCCGCAATTGTCATGAGCACTCTGTGTCATCCGCAACCACTGCACCCTGCACCTAACTAATCCTACACCACTACACCCCCTAGTACCACTACATCCCCTCTAGAGCACCACTATACCCCCTGACACCACTACACCCCCTAGCACCACTACACCCCCTATAGCACCATTACACCCCTATAGCACCACTACACCTCCTATATGACCACTACACCCCCTATAGCACCACTACACCCTTTATAGCAACGCTACACCCCCTATAGCACCACTAAACCCCCTATAGAACCACCACACCCCCAATATTCACTCCAATTGCCGCTCCGCGCCCACCGTGAGCGGGGTCCAGAGCTGGCAGTAGTACTCGAGTAGAGAATAAAAAGAGCCCGGGTGGCATATAGGAGCCCGGGTGGCATATCTTTTCTATAGCACCACTATACCTGGCGTTCTTGAAGCCCTGAAGGCCGCACTTGATGGTGTAGTACTTGTCCTCCGCCAGCTCCAGGAAGCTGTGGGCCCGCACCACCAGCGGCAGGAATTTCTCCTTGCTCGTCTGCCCACACATCATCGCTTTCATCATCACAAGTTCCATCATCACTATTATGAACATCACTATCACTAATATCAGCATCTTTTCAAAAAACAAAATAAACATAAAAGTTATTTTGATCAATAGGTGCAGGGTGGCCCAGTGGTTAAAGTTCAGAGTACCAAGATTGGCGCAGAGAGGCGCGGGTTCGATCCCAGCTCTGTGCGCCAGTTTCTGGTCAGAATCGGCGAGGAGGCCGGGCGGTTAAGCACAGCAGAATNTGAGGCGCACGCCGCAGTACTCAGGCGCAGTACTCACCGCGTTGAGGCGCACGCCGCAGTACTCAGGCGCAGTACTCACCGCGTTGAGGCGCACGCCGCAGTACTCAGGCGCAGTACTCACCGCGTTGAGGCGCACGCCGCAGTACTCAGGCGCAGTACTCACCGCGTTGAGGCGCACGCCGCAGTACTCAGGCGCAGTACTCACCGCGTTAAGGCGCACGCCGCAGTACTCAGGCGCAGTACTCACCGCGTTAAGGCGCACGCCGCAGTACTCAGGCGCAGTACTCACTGCGTTGAGGCGCACGCCGCAGTACTCAGGCGCAGTACTCACCGCGTTAAGGCGCACGCCGCAGTACTCAGGCGCAGTACTCACCGCGTTGAGGCGAACGCCGCAGTACTCAGGGTCGCTGGCGTCAGTAATGAGGGGAAGGCGCAGGCTGACGCTGGAGCTGCCGTCCCCCTCCGCCGCGCAGGGGGGGTTGCGGAATCCCCGACCATGGATCACCCCTACGAGGCATTAGGATATTAGGAGGATTCGGATATCAACCCTACGGGGGAGGATTAGGATACACGTACGTCAATCAACGCTCGGCTAATCAACGCAGTGTGTGAGTGAAGGTCAGGGTAGAATGGAGAGATAACTTGAAGCATCGTAGACTTTGTTTCGTGAACTCACGGAATGGATAAAGCGTAGGTAATTCTGACTATTTTAAGCTATATTATTGAAAAGTGCTGAGTTGTGAAGTGCTGAGGGAATTATAGGCAGGATATGACTGGACCGCAAAGTTAGGGAAGAAAACCGTGAGACCGAGGGTTTGTTTAGAGTCTAAAATAGCAAGGATATCAAAAGGGCTGACCCTTTTGGAATTCGAAACTGTCGTGGCGTCACTTCGAGGGTATAGGCTAAGGCGTGGGTGACACCAGCGTATATAAGCCTTTATAAGGGCCTAAAATTCGCGCCAAAAGGTTGTTCTACTGAGGTGGCCGTCACGCGAGTACGGTCTGCAGTCTGCGGACGTCGTGACGACCGTGGCCGTGAGGCCGGCGGTTTCGCCGTTTCCGAACTTTGGCTGTCGCAAGAAACCTAGACTTATCGAGGCAGCTACGATTCCTGTGAGCACGTCAAACATATACAATGTTCGGAAGCGACTTCGACATATTAATGAGCGGCCAACATCAACACTACGGCTGCGACTGAGCCGTGAGACAACGCGAGAGGACCACGAGATGTCCAACGATTGGAACGCTGGCCATTAGAAGATTCAAGTTTTCAAGTATCGAGCAACAATTGTCTTCGGTACGGTCATCCATACGATACGGTCCCAGTCATCGGCATTACCGTTACGGTCACGATCACCAACCGCAGAAACATCGCAATAAGTCCGGATATAACATCATCAACGATGAAGACTACGCCACTATTAAGAAGTACGGTCGTTCTAAAACAGGCTACGGCTAGACTGACCGTGTGAGGCTACAGCTGCGGTACGGCCACTTGGAATACGGCTGCGAACACGCGCGTGAGAGACGGTCGTTGCGGTAGTCATATCATTTTACGGGAACGTTAATTCGGTAAATAGAAACGTTTTAGTGAAGTTAACTGATAGGTTCTCAAAAATGATTGTGTTCGCACTTTCTTTTTCATGTACTAGAGATTTTTGTCAACGTAGGGTGTGAACATGAATTTTCCCTATTTAATATGAAATGTATCAGTGTTTAATTGCAACCTTCTCTCTGTACGGTTTTTGCCATAAACTAATTCATACGAGAACTTACAACGTGCCGTTACGGATGTTATAACCGTATAACAATAGTAAAATCTCAAATCTACCTAACTTTAAAAATTCCTACTTATTCAGGATCGGCACAAATCTGCACACCACGGTTATAAGCACTTGGCAATGCAGCCTAACTGGTTACTGGTGTCGTTTTTCGGCGTAAAAACAAGCGCATCTGACGCGCACACTCAAACTGTCCACAGAATAACATTTTGGCCCGATATTCTAGGTGGAAAGTATTTGCCGCTATTACTATAGGCTAAAACTTTCACCGTGTTTAAGCATCTTAAGAAAATTAGGAAAAAAATTATCAAGTTGAAAGTTAGACGGTGACACTCACCCCTGTAGGGATAACACTCACCCCTGTAGGGATGACACTCACCCCTGTAAGGATAACACTCACCCCTGTAGGGATGACACTCACCCCTGTAGGGATAACACTCACCCCTGTAGGGATGACACTCACCCCTGTACCTACTAAGTGCTTGTCAAGTGACCTACCAAATGCTTATCAAGAAACCCACTAAGTGCTTGTCAAGTGACCTACCAAGTGCTTGTCAAGAGACCTACCAAGTGCTTGTCAAGTGACCCATCAAGTGCTTGTCAAGTGACCTGTCAAATACTTGTCAAGTTACCTACCAAGTGCTTGTCAAGTGACCTACCAAGTGCTTGTCATGTGATCTGCCAAGTGCTTGTCAAGTGACCTGTCAAGTGCTCGTCAAATGACCTGCCAAGTGACGTTTAAAGTTTCATGCCTCAAGATCCCGCAAATAACGCGTATCCGGAGTTTGTTTTTATTGCAACGCACGCAGACATGCTGATGCACTACCTTCGACGTCGTCTACAAGCGACACCGAGAAATGAGCTGAGCTTCCCGAGGCTCGAACCCACGACTCACTCCTCTCATGTCCGTGCCGTTAACTCTGCGCTACAGTGATGCACAAGCTAGTAACCTAACATGTGACCTGACAAGTTGACATCCATCTAGTGAACATGCAATTAACCCGATAAGTTATTTGTCAAGTGAGCTCTTCAGTGAGTAGCTAATTGACCTGTCAAGTGACATGCAATCGCTAGCAATGTAAGTTAAGATGTCCTACATGTTAACATAATAGTAAGCATAGTACGTAATAGTTAACATATCCTACATGTCAAATTAATAGTAAACATAATAATAGTTAATATGTCCTACATGTTAACTATTAACGTGTTATTAACATATCGCTAGTGATATAAGTTAACACATACTACGGTGGTCGTTAGCCTCGTAACTTGACATAAGTGCCATTAGTGGCAGCTGATAACAATGGCAGTTAACACTTCCCTTAATAAGGACTGCTTAACATCACTTGACTTTAACTTAAATTTAATAGGAGCTTCTCTTAAAAAGGGCTACAAGGATTGCCTTGCTTACCCTTATTAAGGGAGTTTCAAGGCACCGTCTGAAACACTTCTACGCTTACACTCACACAAGTCTGAATACTAAACACATCACACAAACACACCACACAAACACATCACACAAGTGCCTACACTATACACACTGTATGAGTACAGCAACATCATACAACAAGACGTTATTAGTTACTCTTCCTCTCCAGATTTTCCCCTCCACACCCACTTACATAACTCGGGCGTAGGTGCGTCGCGTCTGCAAGCTTCGTACGCAGCGCAGGCGTTACGCATGACGAGGTCCAATAATAACCAGGCTATCGGCACAACAACAACAACGATAACTGCAACAGCAGCACCAACAATAACGATAACAACAGCAAAAGCAACAGCAATAACAACAACAGCAATAACAATAACAACAACAGCAACAACAACAACAGCAATAACAACAACAGCAATAACAACAACAGCAATAACAATAACAGCAATAACAATAACAACAACAGCAACAGCAATAACAATAACAACAACAGCAACAGCAATAATAACAATAGCAATAACAATAACAACAACAGCAACAATAACGAGAACAATAACAGCAACAGTAATAACAGCAACGGCAAAAACAGCAACAGCAATAACAATAACAACAGCAACTGAAACAACAGCAGCAACAATAACGACAACAACAACAGCAACAGCAAAAACAATAACAGCAACAGCAACGACAGCAGCAACAACAACGATAACAACAACAGCAATAACAATAACAACAGCAGCAACAATAACGATAACAATAACAGCAACAGTAATACCAGCAACAGGAAGAACAGCAACAGCAATAATTTGTTTTGTTTAACAACAGAAACAGCAATAACAATAACAGCAACAGCAATAACAACAACATCAACAACAGCAATAACAATAACAACAACAGCAATAACAATAACAACAACAGCAATAACAATAACAACAACAGTAACTGCAACAACAGCAGCAACAATAACGATAACAGAAACAGCAAATACAACAACAGCAACTGCAACGACAGCAGCAACAATAACGATAACAACAACAGCAATAACAATAAAAACAGCAGCAACAATAACGATAACAATAACAGCAACAGTAATAACAGCAACAGCAAAAACAGCAACAGCAATAACAACAACATCAGCAACAGCAATAACAATAACAACAACAGCAATAACAACAACAGCAACTGCAACAACAGCGGCAACAATAACGATAACAACAACAGCAATGGCAACACCAGCAGCAACAATAACGATAACAGCAACAGCAATAACAACAACAGCAACTGCAACGACAGCAGCAACAATAACGATAACAACAACAGCAATTGCAACACCAGCAGCAACAATAACGATTACAGCAACAGCAATAACAATAACAGCAACAACAGCGATAACAATAACGACAACAGCAAATGCAACAACAGCAGCAACAATAACGATAACAACAGCAGCAACAACACTAACGATAACAACAGCAGCAACAACAATAACGATAACAACAACAGCAGCAACAACAATAACGATAACAACAGCAGCAGCAACAGCAACAGCAATAACGATAACAACAGCAGCAAAAATAACGATAACAACAATAACGACAACAACAGCAGCAACGACAGCAGCAACAACAGCAGCAACAACAGCAACAACAACAATAACAACGACAACAGCGACTATAGCAACAAGAACAGCAACAACAGCAATAACAACAAGAAAAACAGCCGCAACGACGACAACAACAGCAGCAGCAATAATAACAACAACAGCTACAATAACAGAAACAACAACAACATCAATAACAGCAACACTAACAACAGTAACAGCTTTAACCTCAATGTTCGTTATTCAGGCCGCGCTTGTGTTAAGAATTGGCGCGAGTTCCCTCGTAGCGCCGAGAGTTCTCTTTTATAGAATAATATTGCGGCATTTTGCTCCACTTGTCGTAATTTATACAAATTAGTTAACTACTTCTAGCTTCTATATAATATATTTTTTATTAGCTCTAATACTATTTGTAATTGTAGAGTTGAACAAGTCATAAACGTATAAAAGAATGTATGATGAATGGTCTAATTTCAATTCTAGAAGCGGTGGCTTCTAGTAAACGTAAGCTGAATGTTTATAGGAGTTTGGGCTAATGAGCAGTTTTCTAAAAACCAATTCATGGAAAACCAGACATTCATATTAATTGTTGTTCATAATACTTTTGTAAACAATTAAATGTTAAGAAATGATACAGGCTGCTTCTCATCCCATCCCCTATGGCAGTGTGGCCGAATTGCTAGATCGCCAATAATTGGAACAGCGAGTAGCGGGTTCGAGACTCGGTCACTTGTGAAAATTCTGCAATGTCATTACGAAACGGCAGGCCAATAATGGCCTAACCTTCAACGCAGAAACCATTATGTATTATTACATTATTATCTTTATATAACATAATATTATCATTATATGACGTAATATTATTAACATTATATAATTATGCATGTTCTTATTTGCAGGAGAGACCGGCGTTGCCAGGGATCGATAATGCCTGCAATTGCCGAATCCCGTCATCTTGAATTTAAAAATTAATAAATCTTGAAGAAAGATCAACATGGTTGGACGTGCTATTTCTACTCGCTTAAAATACAAATTTCATCATTATTGTAATTCTTTTTGGGCTTGGAACAAAGAACTTCCATTAGTCTTTCGTTCCGAATCATAAAAAAGGCTATTTTACGGCTTTAAAAATAAATTAATAAATGACAATTTAAACCAAAGTTTCCTTTTTTGAACCTATCCTTTAGAACCTATTTGAACCTATTTTGAACCTATCCTATTAGAACCTATCCCTTATTTTGAACCTATCATTTAGAACCTTTTTTGAACCTATTCCTTCCTCCCAAATAGGTACATGAATTCAAACTCTGAATTTCGTGAAATTGACTTTCGCTGATTTCACACTTCAACTTACACTCCTTTAATTACACCTCAAAACAGATCAACACCCCAAACAGATCTACACCCCAAACAGATCTACACCCCAAACAGATCTACACCCCAAACAGATCTACACCCCAAACAGATACACCCCAAACAGATCCACACCCCAAACAGATCTACACCCCAAACAGATCTACACCCCAAACAGATCCACACCCCAAACAGATCCACACCCTAAACAGATCCACACCCCAAACAGATCTACACCCCAAACAGATCTACACCCCAAACAGACCTACACCCCAAACAGACCTACACCCCCAACAGACCTACACCCCAAACAGATCTACACCCCAAACAGATCTACACCCCAAACAGATCTACACCCCAAAAAGTTATACACCTAAAAATTACGTACGTATGTCAGCGCTACATATCTTTTAGATATGATATACATATTTAGATATACATATCATGTATATCTAAATAGAAATATACTGTTGACCAGTACACATTGCAGCAATATGCATGCTGCCCGGCGAGACTCTCTTCCATAGCACGGCAGTTACTGCGGTTGACTGCTCCTGCCGTCCTGCGTAACTGTTGCAACTGCGCCCACTGCGCGGCGACGCGTGACGTAACTGCCAGGGGAGCAACTGGGGCGCGGTTCATACCCAGTTACAGTTAGAGGAGGGGCTGAGGCTTGCAGTTACACTTGTTACAGTTAAGGTTGTTACAGGAGAACTTGTTACAGTTATGCCAGCTGCAGGAAATGAAGTCATCGCTATTGCAACTACATCAATAAGAAACTATGTCATTATGAAACTATGTCATTATGAAACTGTGTCATTATGAAACTATGTCATTATGAAACTTTGTCATTATGAAACTATGTCATTATGAAACTACATCGTTACGAAACTACATCATTATAAAACTATGTCATTATGAAACTATATCATTATGAAACTTTGTCATTATGAAACTATGTCATTATGAAACTACATCATTATAAAACTATGTCATTATGAAACTAAGTCATTATGAAGCTACATCATTATGAAGCTACATCATTATGAAAATATGTCATTATGAAACTATGTCACTATGAAACTATGTCATTATGAAACTATGTCATTATGAAACTATATCATTATGAAACTATGTCATTGTGGAACTATGTCATTATGAAACTATTTCATTATGAAACTATGTCATTATGAAACTATGCCATTATGAAACTATGTCATTATGAAACTATATCATTATGAAACTGTGTCAACATGAAACTAAGTCATTATGAAACTATGTCATTATGAAACTAAATCATTATGAAACTGTGTCAATATGAAACTAAGTCATTATGAAACTATGTCATTATGAAACTATGTCATTATGGAACTAAGTCATTATGAAACTATATCATTATGAAGCTATTTCATTACAAAACTATGTAATTTTGAAACTTTGTCATTATGAAACTATGTAATTAAGAAAGTAATCAAATAATTGATAAATGCAAATTAAAAAAGAGTTCTGCTTCCCCCCCCGCGCCCCCAGGGGCACGGCAGGGGGGCGGGGGTCCGGGGGCAGAAACATGCTGCGCTTCAGCGACTCCACCACAAAACCCCACACTATGAACAATTAAATATTCAACTTTGCCTTATATATTCATTACCATTATGCGTAATGAGGCATGAGACTAGCTACCCCACTCGTGCCCCCCTGCCCGGCATACCCAATGTCTCGCCCCCCTCCCCTTCTGCAGCGCCCCCCGCGGGCCCGTTACCGCGGGGGGCAATCAGACGTGACACGAATAATTGCCGCCCCCCACTGCCCCCTCCCTCTGCTGGGGCACATGATTATGAGGCGCCCTGGGGGCATAACTCCCCCCTATGGAGGGGGGCATAACTTCCCCCTAGGGAGGGGGGCATGACCCCAACAGGGATGACATGATATAGCAGCAGGCAATATATTAAGCAATATACGAGTTCGTATAGCAGCATATATAGAACAGCTTTTTATCTCTGGTCTGAGGGGCATTTTTTCTTTTTGCGGTGAGGAAATGAGAGTTAAATAGTTCCTTTGAACGATCCATCGTCTTGATCAAAAGATTGAGTCAATCAATTGACTCAAGCGTGATTGACTACTTGTGTATGAGCCCGTTTGATGTTTGACGCGAGGATTGATGGTGATTGATAGCACGTTTGATTGATGAAATTGATTAACGTAAAGATGCCTATATAATTAAGAACATGAATGCCAAATCAGTATTTGAAACCATTGCTCACCACAGAAATCAACACATTATCTTGAAAACAACCCCTA